CCCCCCCGAAAAAGATGGGATGTCGCGGGGTGGGCTGGCCGCCGCACCGGAACCCGCCCGAGGACAGAGCAGCCCACCCCCCCCCCCCCCCCCCCCCCCCCCCCATCACCTGCCACGGGGCGTCCTACGCGTCCAGCCGAGACCGGCACCGCTTCCTCGAGGCATCATCGGCCAGCCCACGTTTTTCGACTGTTGATGCTGCATGAAGGAGCTCGAGCCGCGTGATGGTAATTCTGTCGCTCACGCGACAGCCTCGTCGGCGGCGCCGAGCGCTGTTTGGAGAAACGTTCTCACTCTCGCGGAGATCGTCGGCGACAAACTCAGTCCGCTCCATTTCTGTCCTTCAACACTGCGAAGACACTCTTTCTCGAATGCATCATAATGCTGCTGCTGCTGCTGCTTGGCTCCTTCCAATACTACCTCCTCAGAAGCCCAAGAACTGCAGAACAGTTTCACCGGTGTAAACTTTCTCGCAATCTTACTCCTTGGCAAACTCCTTCCCCGTCCTCTTCCCCGTCCCCAAGAACCTACAACATCCAACAACCACGCTCTCCTTCGTATGATCCACGTACGCATCCCATGCCAAAAAGAACATGAGACGAGACGAAAACAAGTCTGCACCGGGGGCTGCTGCTCCACACAAACTCCCAACGCCAACTGATTCGTGGAAGATGCACGAATCATCCGGATCTTGACTCAACACACTGAATCCGCGTAATCGCACGCAACCCCACGCAAGCCATCGCAACGTCCGAAGCAAAGGCTTGTCATGCATTGCTATTTAAAATTGTAAAGTGGCGTCCGTGCAGACGAGTGAGAAAAGTTCGGATGGAGGACCACTTCCCTTACTTCTCCAAATTGAGGCCGATGGCGGTGTCGGGTACTCGGCCCCACTAACACCGGCGCCGGCCCGGGCCAGACAAAGACAGACACCTCTTGTCCGTCGTTAACCGAGCCGCCGGACGGACGTACCCCACATCCCATACCTCCAAAACTTTTCAGCACTTCATTTCCCACCATCTCGACATCCTCCCCAGCAACAGTCACCGTCTCCTCCGCCACCAACGCTCCTCCTCCTCTTCCGGCTTCGTACCAACGAGCCAGCGACTGGAATCCAAAGAACCACCGCCACATCTGTTGCAGACATCTGCCATTCCAACAAGTGAAACCCACCCCCACACACCCATCCTTTCCCCAGCCAACCGACCAACCCAAAGGGCGTGGAGGTCACGTTCGCGGCTCCAGAACACTGGATGACGATTCCTGTTCCATCCATGGAATGTGCCCGTGAGTCACGAGAGGAAAGTTTCACTCACACACATGCATGTGCACAAATCAATAGTCACATTGTCGCAAAATGTCCAGTCCGAAAGACTAAGTAAGTGAAATTCAATTTCAATTCATCATATACCACTTCCCAATCATTGTTCTAAATCCCTAGCCAAAAAAATGAATCTCATGATCGCTGGCTGAGGCTCGCCTCGCGCCAGGACTAGATCGAGCTCCATTTGTTCCCGAAAAGAAAATCCCCATCAATACCAAATATCCCTAAAAAAGGAAAAATGCCATTTCCTGAATCGCCAAAAGCTGAAATCCCAATGAACCCCCGTTTGCCACCCCTGAAGAAGCCGAACCCTTTTATTTTAACCCCCAATAGTTGTAGTAGTACATCCGTCCCGGCGAGCTGATATCGCGAGATTGTCGTCATTACGTTGATCCGGGGCGCGTGGTGCTGCAGACTGGAAGCCAGCACACAAAGCGTAACATAACGTACAGAGGTCGCCGTGATTAGACAAAGGAGCCGTGACGTCGTTAAGATACCCCTTTTCCTAAATGGAAACCCAATACGCCAGAGACCCCAAAAAAGACCAGAGTGTTGTTATCATGAGCTGCCAAAGAAGACGTCGTCGTTGGTGAACATGTTGACGGGGTCGTCGAACTCGTCAAACTTGTTCATCATCAGCATGTTGGACTCGCGGTCAAACTGGACGAGGCCCTCCTCGCCGGAAAAGGTCTTCATCAGCATCTCGTCGTCGGGGTCCAGGCCCAGACTGGAGATGCTGGTATTGCCGACACCGACACCGGTGTTGCCCCGCATACCGGCGAGCAACGAGTCGTCGCTAAAGCCGGAAGTATTGGGCTCGGCGTCGAAGAACTGGTTGGGCGGGGGCGAGGATGACTGGGAGAGCTCGGGCGGGGTGTTGTACTCGCTCTTGGCTGGGGACTCTGGTTGCTGGGACAACGCCGTTGGCGCCTCCATCAGGGCCTCTGGTGAGACGTACCCCGAGTGGTGGCTGCTGGCGGCGGGTGACGGTTCAATGTCCAACTCCTTGTGGATTCTGGGGGGCGACGAGGGCATTGGCGCAGAAGACACGGTTGTGATCTGCAGAGGCATGTCCAGGCCTGGGCGCTCGATGCTGATACCGCCCATCTCGAACTGCTCGTCCATCATGTTGAAGTCGTTCTCTGGGGAGTTGACCGCAGAGCTGTCCGAGTATCCGGACTGCGACGAGGTGGAGGTGGAGGACTTGTTCTTGGTCCTGGTGCGGGCGGACTTGTTGACGCGCTCGTCCATCTCAGGGCGGTGCTTGCGGGGGCGGCCGCGCTTGACGACCTTCTTGACGATGCCGTCGAAGGCTCCGATGCACATGCCGCGCTGGCGGTGGCGGGTGAGGGCGTCGTGGCGGGCGAAGCTGTTGCCGCACTCACAGGGGTAGGGCTTGATACCGGTGTGGATCTTGGCGTGGCGCTTCAGGTCGTGCTGGCGGACGAAGCACTTCTTGCAGGTAGGGCACTGGTACTGGCGATCGTTCAGATGGGTTTGGACGTGGGACTTGATGTTTTCCTTGCGGCCGAACTTCTTGCCGCAATCCTCATACACACAGGTCCACTTGCCGTCGCCAGGATCGGGGCCTTGGATGTAGTTTGCGATATCCTCGATGGTGACACCGGTGTCGGTCTTGGTCTCCTCGATGTTGATGCTCGCGATGCTGGCGGCACTGGCAATGCTGGCAAGAGACTCGGTACGGCGGTGAGGGGAAGTACGGCGGGACATGTCGAACGAACAAGTGGGGGAAGAGGACGAAATCTCCATGTTGGGATGCCTCAGATCGGGCCTGTTGTCGAACGCCGCGTGGAAGTTCATGAGAGGAGTGTGAGGGGTGGATTGCGCAGAGAGATCGGAGGCGGCGAAGTCGTCAGTGATGCCGTCGTAGGTGCCCTGGATCTTCATGAACTCGTTGTTGAAGTTGTTCATGTTCATGAAGTCGGCGGTGGGCATCGACTGCTCGTACATGGCCGCCTCGGTCACCTGGGTGGGTTGCTGGGGGACGGGCATGGCGGTCTGCTCAGACTGTCTCCGCAGCTCCTCAAAGATGTTCTGCGTCCTCTGGTTCGTCCTCCTCGTGGGCTTGAGCGTCTCCTCCATGGACTCGTCGTAGCCGTCGGCGAAGCGACTCGGCCTAGCGGAGATTGGCTCGTGCTTGATAGCCCGATCATGAGGCGTCTCCATAGGAGTAGGAGGAAAGTAATCTGCGGCTTGTAAGTCAATGTACGCAGAGGATGGCTCGAGAAACGTACTTGTTGCATTCTGCGTAGGGGGTGTCATTGGTCTTGACATCTGCTCAATGCCCATGGTCTCGAATTTGCTGACCCTCTCCATGATGCCATTGCTGATTCTCCGCGACGACCGCCTCGTGCTGGCAGTCTCTCCCTCAGAGATCCAGCCCTGGGGAGTGTTGGGAGCGTCGCTGAAGTTCATGAAGGAGGGCGTCGAGAGGGCGCTGTCGGAGCCAAAGAGCTCAAAGTCCTTGTTGCCTCCCATGTTGGCGCCGTAGGCCTGCTGGTTCTTGGCCATCATGCCGTTCATCTGGTTGCCATATTGGTCGAACTGGATGGGGGTGGAATCGAAGCATGTGGCGTCGAAACGCTGGGCGGCCGGCGTGCCATGGGGGGACATGAGGTAGTTCTCGTGGTCGTTGGCGGCCACGAACATGTGTTGTTGGTGCTGGAGTTGTTGTTGTTGGTGGTGCTGTTGTTGGTGAAGGTGTGCTTGCTGTCGGGGGCCCGGGCGTGCTTGTATGCGTTGCTGCTGCGCTTCTCGCAGAACATGCTGCGGTTGTTGTGCTAGTCCTGTGTTGTTAGTAGTACTTACCTGCGCAAAGTCCTGCCTTGTTCCGTTAGGAGACATCACTTGTCTGCGAGTATCCAGGCTGAGGCCCCGGCGGTGGCCGAGGGCACGTTGGCGCTGGACATTGTTAGGCAAGGGCTGGATCTTCACTGCTTCGAATGCCGTCGGTGTCGAGTTTTGGCGTCGGTGCCTGTGACGGGCATGAAGACTGCTGGTTGGCGGAGTGGACAGCATTGTGTCGCAAGTCGAGTCCGGATGGGATAATTGTCGTCGGTTGGTTAGGTTGTCGAGGGAACCTTTTTGGTCCGAAACTGTGTGTAAGTTGGGTGTCAGCATCGACATCGACATGGACAAGTGCTCCGTCATCACCATCAGCGACGGGAAGAGGGAGAAAAAGACTCACCTCACGCAGCGCAAGCACAGCTGGCCGGGCTAGGGGGAGGGTTGGTTGTGCTCAGTCGGGGTCGACTTCGCGGTTAAAATCAGATAGAATCTGGTCTGTACGCCTTGTTCAGGCGAGGTAAGAAGGACGAGAACGCAGCACGCGTGCGGTCTCTACCTAGGCAAAGGTAAACTTGTCAATGGCAACAGGTGATTTGTGATGGATACACAAGAAGTGTTGGCTTCTTGGTAGACAGGCGGTGAAGGTGTTTTGGAGATGTGGTTTGATGCAGTCGCGATGGACGACGGGAGAGGGTGAGGTAGAGGATGGTCTTCCTGCAGTAGTGGATTTGGGGCGGGAGGAGGGGAGGAGATTCAAGATTCCACTTTGGAGGTGATCTGGGTGGGTAGGAATAGTAGTAGTAGTCGAAAAATAGTAAGGAAGGCAGCGGTAAGGATAGATCGATAGCAACGACTGGGTGCCAGCAAAGCGATGCAAAGACGGCCTCTGGTTGGAGGGGCGCTGTATCTGCGGAAACCAGACCAGGCTTTTTGGTGGTGGGCGGGTATCCAAGACGTGATGGGCTTTGTTGACATGGAGGGCCGGCCGTCGCCAGGGCAACAGCACTGAAGGAGGGCCCAGCTGCGATGAGCGCGGCGCACCAGTTGGACCTGCCGCAGCTGCCGCAGCCTGCAGCTCCCGCCCTGCGACCAGGTGTTTTACCAATGAATGGATCTCTCCAGCGGCCCAGTGTCCCAGTGTTCCAGGGTACGTAGCTCGTCATCCCTCTAAAACACCCATGGATGCCTCTCCAACTCGCCAGAGCTGACGTCCACTTCCTTGCAATCCATCCTTTGCCGAACCAGGTTCGCCGCCTCTTGGGCCAAGGTTCTCTCTGTCTGTCAACATGTTTCTTGCTGCTAGCTCTTGTGCTAGTATTATGAGGGAAGTTGCACCATCTGGTTGGCTTCTTCAAGATGATCCTGATACCCTGGCTGAGGTATCCGACGATTGATGCATCATGCTTCTAGGAATCATGCAAAGTGCTCTCCAGCATCGTCAGATACAATAAACACCCGTCCGTAAGGTACCAATTGAAACAACACAGCCGACTTACACCGACACGTTGCCCTCCCAGTGCCGTCAGCAGAGTGGACCAAACACCACATCCCCGTCACCCTTCAATCCTTCTCCGCAATCGAATCAAAAGACCGTGCTCCTCCTCCTCCTCCTTGCCTTGTTCATCCTCCACGTCCTGGTTCCTCTTCGCTGTCCTCCCCCTTCCGTCACTCTGGGCCTCGATTCGATCCCCCGATCGCACAACCCCGGCAACCGGACCTGTGGAGGACACGCGCGAACGCCCATCCCATCCCATCTTGGACCTCCTCCAGTCTCACCAGCCCAAACCGCTCGCCAGCGGCCTGGAACCGAGCCATCGCACAGCACCTGCCCGTCGTGCGTTTGGTCCAGCCACAATCACACAAAAGTCTTGTTTCACTTTGCTGTCTCTCATCAGCCCGACTGTGCCGTCCATGACGGGATTAAAAGGCCACTGATCTGCTGTCCCTTGCTTGATACGGATATCTAGGTTTTTTTCCGTTTCGTGGTTTGTCGAGTTCTGCAGCGTACATACCTCCCTCGCACCCGAGGACGGGTATGCTGTACGAGGCCATCTGCGCATTCTCCAGGTGAACACTTGAGGCCGTGCTTCGGAAACAACGGCTGCCGTTTATATGTTGGACGCATTATTGCTCGGCATCGGGTTGGTGGTGGCGGTCGGACACATGTCACCGGAGTGTTTTGCGCGCCACTCTACCCACCGAGCGATGCACCACCAATCGCTGGGCTCCCACGTGGTATACCCACTACTGGGAATAGCTTCACTTTTACTCTTGCACCAGTGTAATTCTTCGACGAACGTGCTTGCCATGGTTGTGGTCAGGTGAAATCTTGCCACTTGAACATGGACTAAAGATTTTGTCGTGGATAGCGTCATCTCATATCCAAGCACTTATTGTCACGATGTTGTAGTCGTCAAACTTGCATCTCAATCTCAGCATTGCAGGGCTCGAATAATCCTCATGCCTTTTTCTTCGTGTGTTCAACACTCAAGACCCCGCATGGAAAGAGGTGGCGAATACAAGCCTCGCGCTTTTTGATGCTATGGTGGTGCTGGGATGCCGCCACGGGAGAGGATCGCGGCCAATGCTGCGGGAACACCCAATGGACTGCATCGTTCATGGCTTGGGGAAAGGATGGGGAAAACATACACTAAGGCTGAATGCCCATCTCAGGCTTCTGCAGGAGAGTGTCCGCTCTCCCGTATCGGCATAAAGCTACCGCATGCCCATGCGGTATATGTGGTTACACCTAAGTAGTGGCGATATTAAAGCCCTCTGGCAGCTGTCCAGAGGTCTTGATGTCAATTAGCCTGGTTTTCTGCCGGCGTCTGATTTGGCGGGATCAGCCAAGAGCATCTAGCTAGGTGTATTTGTACACGTAAGGAAAACGTCGAAAGGCAGAGGAAGCTCTGATGTGATTGGAATGTAGGGTATCACGATTCGAGATGTGGTCAAACACAGGCACATGGCTTTTTCCTCGGACGCTTTGGACAGAGACAAGACAGCATGTCTTGTTGCTGAAGCAGCAGCAGCAGCAGCATTGCACGAGCATCAACCAGGACCAGTCTGCCGGAACAGCAATCACGTCTGTGCAGGCTAGTTGGGAGAGGGTGTCATGATCCGGACGATGACTAACAACTCGGTGAGCTGACGATAATCCACGGAATCCAAGGTGTGCGGCAAATTAGACAGGTGAGTTAGCTGAGCATGTCAGGCGATGTTGGCCCTCAGCCGGGCTTCACACGGGACCGGCGAGAGCCGCCCCGCCGGGTCGGTCAGGCTTGGGGTTGGTTGCGCTGTGGCCGCGATGTCTGCTTGGGGAAGATTTGGGGGCCGGGGAAGGGAATGGCAGGCGTTGGTTGGGCCATGAGCGGAGTGGTGGTGCAGGTTGTCGGCCGATGATGATGCGTGTTTTAATACGGCGACGAAGAGTGGACGGGAGAGGAAGAGCAGAGTTTTTGTGAGTTGGCCTTGCAGAGGGAATCGGGTGCAATTATCAGATGACATGCATTTCGCGTGGACAGGGTTCTGCTGTCTTAACCCAGGCTGATATTTCACCGCTGCTCGGTTGGTTCGTGGTTCATGCAAGGGGACCCGGGGAGGGGGCGCACATGTTTTTCCCACAAAAGTTTTGCATGAACTCTTTTTTTTTTATTCGTCTCTGTCAAGAGATGTCAATTGAGTTTTGGGAATTTGGAGACGATGTGAAGAGATGATGCTATTTTGCAGGGTCAATTGAATCATAGCGACACGCATTCAGAGACCCGTGTTATCACGATGGCCGCCCACGTCACGTACAAGACACCCGACTCACTCCAGGCCTATGAAGCTGCCGATGCCCCATGGCCAGGTGCCGTAGAGTCCCGTTGTTGGAGGCATTTGTTCCGGTCACAGGACTCGGCCTCGGGAGCTTCAGGGACCGTCAGTGTGGGGCGGTCTTGGGAAACGACGCCTCGGAATTGGACGACGAGGAGGCCAGGTGCCGAATGCGGCCCGTGCACGGTGTTTCCACGGCTGTCTGGCCAGTGACAGGTCGCCGCGACAACCAGGGTGCAATCAGCGAGTCCACTGGATTGCATACGGGCGTGCAGTGCAGCAGCACCTCAGGCGTCTGCTTCAGTGGACACCAGCGCCAGAGCACCGGCACCGACGCTGGACCTCTCAGAAATCGTGGCCCCTTCCTGCTTTTGGCCATCGGTCCTCTTCCTCGCCTTTGCACCTCCTAATTAATTACCTGCGCCTGCCTGCCTCTCCCTCAACCACCACCACCCTGTCGGCCAGACAAGACCGGATTGGACATTGTCGTCCTTGTCTTTGTTCTCTCAGCCCTTCCCCTCATTCTGCTCCTCCTCCTCCTACTCCTCCTCCTGCTGCTGCTCCTGCTGCCGTCCTCCCACCGAAACCTGTGACAGCAAAAAAAAAAACATCCTTCAACCCCCCCCCCCCAACACCAAACCCGAGAAAAAAAAATAAAACCCCGACTCCGGCTGTCCTCGGCACCCACACTCTCCACGCACACACACATAGGGACCGCGCATCAACCCTCATCAGCTCGCAATCTAGCAAGTTCATGCGATGTCAGGCAACACCCTTAGAGGAACGCCCAATCGCGGCCAGGCTCGTGGAGGCATCCCCTTCAACAACAGCCCCTCCGGCTCTGCCGCTCCTCATGGGAGCCATGCCGCCGCTGCCCAGCATCCCGCCTCCTCTGGCATCCCGCGCCCCGTCCTCGATACCCAGCCTACCCAGAGCGAAGTCAGTGGAGCGGGCGTCAGTGCCAGTCGTCAAAAGCAGTCCAAGAGAGATGAGGTTAGTCGACACCCTGCCAATACTGAGCCCTTACCCCGGACGTGATATCTAGATCTTTTGCGCATTGCATTGCACCGCATTGCACAGCAAAACCAGACACACTCCTGCCCTGCCTGCTCCTGCACCGCCGTTCCGTTCCTCTCTCCATGTCCGTCATTGTCGAGCCTCGCTCCGCCCCCTCGCCTCGACCTTCCCGGACAGGCGCACAACGGAGAGAGAGAGACGCAATGGGAAACCTCACCTACCAGGAGCTCGAGCGAGCCAGGCTGCTAAACAGAATGGATACTGACTACTACGTCAAGGCCATCCGCAAGAAGATGGAGAGCGATCTCTCCAAGAAGAAGCACCTCACGAGCCGAGCCCGCCACTCGCGCAAGGCCCCGCCCGGCACCGTCCTCGCCCTGAAGCCGAGTCCTGCCCTCCAGATCAAGCCCGCAACCACCGTCGCCGAGGCCGCCCAGTTGATGGCCGCGAAGCGCGAGGACTGCGTGCTCGTCACCGACGATGACGACCGCATCGCCGGTATCTTCACCGCCAAGGATCTCGCCTTCCGCGTCGTTGGCGCTGGCCAGAAGCCGAACCACATCACCATCGCCGAGATCATGACCAAGAACCCCCTCTGCGCCCGCACCGATACCAGCGCCACCGACGCCCTCGACCTCATGGTCCGCAAGGGTTTCCGTCACTTGCCCGTCATGGACGAGAACCAGGACATCTCGGGTATCCTCGACATCACAAAGTGCTTCTACGATGCCATGGAGAAGCTGGAGCGCGCCTACTCCTCCTCGAGAAGGTTGTACGACGCCCTCGAGGGTGTCCAGTCCGAACTGGGCACCAGCCAGCCCCAGCAGATCATCCAGTACGTCGAGGCTCTCCGCCACAAGATGTCTGGCCCGACCCTCGAGTCTGTCCTCGATGGACGTCCCCCGACCACCGTCAGCGTGCGCACCTCGGTCAAGGAGGCTGCTCAGCAGATGAAGGAGAACCGCACGACGGCCGTCCTCGTCCAGGATCAGGGAGCTATTACCGGTATCTTCACCAGCAAGGACGTTGTCCTTCGTGTCATTGCCCCCGGCCTCGACCCCGCCACCTGCAGTGTCGTCCGTGTCATGACGCCGCACCCCGACTTTGCTCCCATGGACATGAGCATCCAGGCTGCTCTGCGCAAGATGCACGGTAAGAGATGCCCAAACCCCGCCAAGTTCAGGTTTGCGCAGTCACTGACAGTTTGCAGACGGCCACTACCTTAACCTCCCCGTCATGACCTCCGACGGCGGCGAGATCGTCGGCATGGTCGATGTCCTCAAGCTGACATATGCGACACTTGAGCAAATCAACACCATGTCCACCGCCGACAGCGAAGGACCCGCATGGAACAAGTTCTGGCTTTCGCTCGACGACGGCACGGAATCCATGATGTCCGGCGAGGGTAGCCACACCCACCACACGAACCTCGGTTCTCGCATCATGTCTCCCGACCTCACCCGCGAGCGTATCGGCGACAGCGTTGCTCCCGGCGACTCGGCGTCGCACGTCGGCGTTGATTCCCCGCCTCAGTCCGAAATGACCGGCCACAGCCCGGTTCACCAGTCTCCCGCTGAGCTGCCTTTCCCTTTCAAGTTCAAGGCCCCGTCCGGACGTGTGCACCGCCTGCAGGTCATTGCTTCCCAGGGCATCGGCGCCATGGTGACCAATGTCATTTCTAAGCTCGGACATGAGGTGGATGCCATTGGCGGAGCCCCCGACATTGATGAGGGCAGGATTTCTGGCGGTTTTGCGCTCAGCTACCTCGACGACGAGGGCGACGAGGTTTCCATCACAACAGACAACGACCTTCTCGAGTCTATTCTCCTCGCCCGCCAGGGCCGCAGGGAAAAGGTCGACTTGTTCGTGCACGATCCCGAGAAGCCTCCCGTTGGTGCTGGCCTGACTGTCGAGCCCATTGCCCTCCCGACGCCCCCCATCTCCGCCACGCCCGACCTGCGCCACAGGAGGAGATACGACGACGAGGACGACGATGCGGAGGATGAGGATGATGACATTCCTCGCTCGAGGAGATCGCGCCGCCATAGGGCCGCCGCGCACGAGCCTGAGCAGGTCATCCAGGGCGTGCCCAACGAGCTGCTGCTCCCCGGTGCGATTGTGACGTTGGCGGTTGTTATTGTCGGAGTCTTCACCATTTCGCGCATTACCAGTAGGTAAGGGATGTCTAGAGATAGAAGGGGCGGATCCCATTCATGACTTGACGAAAGGTCGTTGGCGAGCATGCATTGTAGATATGTATCGAGTATGATTGTCTTTAGACTTGAGTACCCCGACGTTAATTAATACACCGCAAACCTCATTGGATTGGACAAAATTATTTTTTTCATCCCCGCGAACTCGTGAATTGTCAAATCATACGCTTCGGTGACGAGTCGAGTGAACCTGGTTCAACTGCAGTCGGCCGCATCCCTGTGCGCTTACCTAATCCGTCATCCCACCCTGCGGCGGAGACTTCCGTCCAGCTTCCCGAAAGCTCCAAAAATTGCTCCTACGCAGGACGGACCGCAGCAACCACCCCAAACCACCACGCCGCCCCATTCAGCCATGATTGTGAGGAGCATAGCCGCCCGGCAAGGTATGTCATTCCCATGTGCTTCTCCCAAACCCTCAATTGAACCCAGAAACTAATCCCCGTCTCCCCCGCAGGCCGGAAAGCCCTCGCGGCACCCATCATCTCGACATGCCGCCGCGGCATCCAAACCGAGTCCCTCATCGGCGAGTTCACCCCGGAGCAGCTCGAGGCCTTCACCACGCACGCCGCGCTCCGCGCCGGCGGCGCGGCCTCCAAGGGTCGGTACCCGGAACACGTCCGCGAGGCCATCAAGCCGCTGCGCTCGACCGCCTCGCAGTGGAAGAAGTTCAAGGCCGCGCAGAAGGCGACGGACGGCATCGGCTCGTCGGTCGGGCGGGCCTACGTGCCCTCGGAGTTGATCAAGAACCCGCCGAGCCCGCGCGACGTCACGCTCGAGCTGCTGATGGCGAGCCAGACGCACATGGGCCACCACACCTCGCTGTGGAACCCGGCGAACGCGCGGTACATTTATGGTGCGAGGCAGGGGGTGCATCTGATTAGTCTGGAGGTCACGGCGGCGCATCTGCGGCGGGCGGCGAGGCTGGTGGAGGAGGTGGCGTACCGCGGGGGTCTGATTTTGTTCGTCGGCACGCGCAAGGGGCAGATGGAGATTGTGACGCGGGCGGCGCAGCTGGCGGGCGGGTGCCATTTGTTCACGAAGTGGACGCCGGGGAATGTGACGAACCGGGATCTGATCAATCGCGGCAAGGAGATCAAGGTGGTGGACGGCAAGGACAAGAAGCTGAAGGGGTTCGAGCGGTTCGAGCGCACGGCGCGGCCGTTGTTGCCGGATTTGGTGGTCTCGCTGAACCCGATGGAGAATTACACGATGCTGTACGAGTGCGGGCTGGCGAATATCCCGACGGTGGGCATTATTGATACAAACGCGAACCCGGATTGGGTTACGTACACGATCCCGGCGAACGATGACAGGTAAGGGCACACAGATATCGTTTGTTTGGCCAAGACGGGAATGATGCTAACTGGATGTGGCAGCTACCGCTCCGTCGCCGTCATCGCCGGCGTGCTCGGCCGCGCGGGCCAGCAGGGCCAGAAGCGCCGCCTCGAGGCCGCGAACAACGGCACGGTCTCGTGGGAGGTTCCGACGCCGGTGCTGAAGTACATCAAGGACACGAGGAAGGCGCACGAGAAGGAGGTGTTGAAGCAGCAGAAGGCGGGCGTGTACGTCGCGAACAGAAGCGACGCGGCGGCCCCTGGCGCTGGTGCTGCCGGTGCCGCCGGTGCCGATGGGGCGGCGCCGCCGCTGAAGAAGATGGTGGAGGCGCAGCGGGAGCAGGCCATGTTCGGGGACGAGGCGCTCGAGAGCGAGATTGAGGAGGCGGTTGACGCGGACAGGATGGCGGAGGGGGCGCTGAACGAGCAGTTGAGGAAGGCGCTGTTGGAGCAGGAGTGAGAGGATACGGGAGAAAAGCAAATGTATGAGTGTGTACAATAGTAGAATTGCCCGTTGAAGGGTTTCTTGCTCTGACCTGACTTGAGTGGTTTGCTGTGGTTTCTGACAAGGTTCGTCTGAGGCATCGCCAGGGTCTCGCCTACCGCTTCCACCGCCGACAACAATGCACGACCACCGCCGGAACAAGGCTACTGGGCATTGGACCGACCTTTTACTTCTAGTGTATATAAATCTGCTTGTCCCAGTTTCTTTGTGAGGAGCTCAGGGCAATTTTGTCCATGCCATTTGTCTGTTGGTTTGAAAACAGGAATACCATCGTCTACATACCATGCCGAAGCGAAGCGTCGTCGTCGAAGGCGAGAGGCTTCAAAGGTTGTTTCGCTGGCTTCTCATTCTGCCCTTTGGTGTTTCTTTTGAAGTATTTCGTTGGAAATATGGTTGAGACGGAGATGAGGGCACCGTCACCTCAGGATTCTTCGGCCCAGAGGGCAGTGTCCACGTTTGGCACTGGTTTCACGGCCAAGGCTATCCAAATCCCTGACAACTATTCGCGGGACCTCACAGGCTCATCTATTGCTCGTTGTGAAGTTCAGAAACAGCTCGTGGACAACACATCATTTTATAGGAGGTTTCTGGGAGTTATCCTCTATCGCATTGTGCAGTGGGAGAGCCCCGGGCATATTTATTTAGCCCCCGGGCGGATGGAATTTCTCTTCGAAGCCAGACAATTTTGGTCTTTGATGCGGTCTTGTTTGTAGTCCTGATTCTCCAAGGGGGGTGCGCTTTCGCACACCGAAACCAAGCCCCAACCAAGACGTTTGCCCGCAACGAGTAGCAGACACCGGTCTTTTCGTATGAGGCGGGGATACACGCAAACCAAAGATGTAGAGCACGGTGTACTTACAGCTGCGAGCTTCCCAATCGACATCAATTCTTGCTTAAGCTGGCTAGGTTAGGGTCTACGCCAACTCGACATGTTGCGCATCAGAACGGATGGTTCATGTCCGACTTCTATTTGTTGACGAGTCTTACAGAGGTTTGCCGTTCTCTTTATGCAGACCACACTTGCGTGTCCCTCCGCAGAAGGGCGTCATCCTCGATACTCGATTCAAGGCCTGGGTGCGTTTCTGTGTCTTCAGGGTCACATAACATGGGTCCATGACACGCCGTGCGCGGAAGCGCCGTCCGACAGAGTGCGATTAGAGCCTGCGGTTTGTGAATATAAGAGAATGTATGTTGCCTGCGTTTGAGAGAGATCCGCAGACCGCAACCGATACGGACCATCGTTGGCATCTGGAACCTATTGGCAGGCAGGGACTAGGCTTTGAAATCAGTGTCGACGCAGGAGCATGGGTCTCACTTTCCAGATGGCCATCCCACAAAGCATTGGGTTCTCGGTACTGCTCGTCTTCTCCGGAACAGTATTCTGCCTGCATTGACTTTCAATAAGTGGCGAATGGCTCCAGGGCTGGACGGTGGTTGGCCTCGTAGCTGATGTCGCTCATCGATAGAATGCGATTACGGTTGGGTTGATTCTTTCGTCACGGGAGCAATCTTATGTTTCGTTTTAAAGTGAATGCAAAGTTGCACCTTCTGGGGGCGCAATTTTGTGGTCAATTTCGGAGTATCCGCCATATCCTGCGTTACCCTTTATACCCTCTCGAAGACTAGGTCTTTCGAAAACCTCACCGTCTCATGAGCTTCTCACGGTCACAAATAATTGATGTTTACAAGTGATGTGCTGAAAATCTTCTGGACTCACACAAGCAAATCAAATCTGTCCTCCGACGGGAATTATCAATTCGTTATTGGTCCCTGGCGGTGTTTGACCATTGCCCAATCTAAGGGAGGCGCAAATAGGTACCTTAGGGGATGATAACATCATTTGAGCTGCACCTTGTATACAGGACGGAATACGTGGCCGTCGGAGGACGCTGCTGGACACTGAAAAGGCAGGGATAAAAGCCGCAAGCGTCCCCAAGATACATAGAGGGAGCAAGAGGTCGCTGGTGATAGTTCCGCCTAGGTTCAGGGCGTTGTACGCGTTGACCTCCGCGAGATCTTCGCCGGTAGCAAGACTTGTTTGCTGGTGTTTATTTATATGACTCTATCTTCATTCTAGCTTAGCAACTTTCGAGATAGCAGGTGTCAGCAATGACTGAAATGGGCGAAACGTTCCGCTTGCGAGGCAGCAAGTGAGTAATCCGTTACTGTGATGAGGTATAAATAACGTGAACCCTAAGCATCTGGGACGGACTCAGCAGGAAGATAAGTTGATCGGTGTTTAGATGACAAACCAATTGATTAGTTTGTTGAGCCATTCGATAAAGTCTTGAATGAGAGATCCCGTGTCACCCCCATAGGAACCCCTTGGCGTTCTCACAAACCCCGTGGCAAGTCTACGAACGCCGTCTGTGTAAACTGGAAGAAGGAATACGTTACCAATGGGAAAAGTGATGAATGACGAAATAAGGTGACGATACTTCTGTAATTTGATACGCTTTTCAGAATCTGTTGTCTTGTAAATCTTAAGGCCACAAACGCCTACTGCGCACATTGAGCCCGCGACATCGCTGTTCAGCTGGTATCAGCAGAGTTTCTCATCGCTAGAGGAGAGCGATTGTGGCCAAAAGAACGTACATCCATACGTCTGCATACTTAGTGTCTCGGCAGAGCTCATGTAGCTACTGTGTGTATGGGGTATTGAGAGGACGTTGAAAATGACTCCGGCCCTGGCTCTACACTCGTCATGCTGAGATCTGGGTAGCCAAGTCTCTTAGGATGCCTGGAGAGCATCCATATAAAGGGGCAGTTACTTTATTATAGCTATAAGTTAGACAATCCCAATGAATCTCCAGGCCGGCGTCCTCATATACTGGCCCATTCATGATTGGCAAAGGTACACAGGTGATGAGCCCCCCTATGGTCTTGTTGTTGCCTCCAGATTAGCCCTAAGTCGCTGGCCGGTCCGATCTGATTTGCTCCGCCGTTTGTAACTTATCAATAATGTATAAGCGAACAATAAGGTAGCCAGTGCTACAGGCGACGTGTTGTTGGAATCGACTGGTGGGTATCAGCATGATACGACGAAGAATGCTTTTTGATATGTTCGACTTTAGCGGATAGGGTTTCAGCCACCTCCAACAAACAGCCGAACAATCAGAATCCCATTATTTCCGGCAGAGGTCACACAAAAAGTGCAAAGGCATCGTCTTATAGGCTGCATTTCTCGTCAAAGTAGAGAGTGTTCGCTTAATTGGAGCTCGAGAGGGTAGGAATTAGTCTTGTCATATTTATTGAGACTACCAAGCATCGAACTTCTCTTGGCTCTGGTATTCAGTGGCGAGCAAATCCCTTTGTTCTTTACACTCTTCTCAATTATACTATTCGGTAGCTGTGCACAAATGCATAAGTTCACTCAGATTGTCCAACAGTCGAATAACATTCTTTCCAGGCATGCTGAGACTTCTCGTCAACTTCGCTAGAGTATTCGGGCATTACGACGCCTGAAGTAAGGATTGCGGACGGCGGCAGGCGTCGATTGTTTTTACTGACAGAGTCATGCGGCTCTCCACACAGGAAAAGCCTTTACGTCAAGAAGCTGGGTGTTTTATCGCCAGCATGTAGATGGTACAGCCCTGTCATTCCAGAGACAAAAGAATTTCGAAATTTCTCGGGCTGTCCTAGACACGTCTTTGTTTAACAAACAATTAGACAATCGTCAAGTCTACCAGCCTTAACCCTCGAGCGCTGAGTCGGTCAGGAGCCATCCTTGGATCAAACCACTCCCAATCGCCTTCCCCACCATATCTCCATAGCAGCCTCCCCGTTTGTTCCGACTTCTGCTCCCAACCATCAGGCAGCTCTTCTAGACGAGGATCATTGATTGTGATCATGCCGCTGGGGTGGATGAACACTGGTCTGCTGAAGGTCTTGTAAATCATCCTCCACCCCTCTGGCAGCGGACCGAGAAGCCCTTCGAAGCGCATGAGACTGTGCATGAAACATGCCCCGACAATCCTGTACTTGGAACTGCCAACCGGTCTCATGATTATGGGCATGTTGCACCCCAAAATCACGAAGATCTCGTCGCCCTCGCGAGCTGCGCCCGTACCGAGGGCGAACTTGCCCAATGTTGTTCTCACGAGTTGCGTGCCTGTCATGCTCTTGGAGAACACGTCGAGAGCGCGAGACCGGGAGGCAGCTTCGAGGTCTGATGACTGTTGTGGCGAGTGTCCCGGAACACCGCTGAGGAGGACGTCCTTAAGCTGCCAGAGTTCCAAGCTGGTATCGTCGAAGGCGATGTCCTCCTTGAGATGGCCGCGCGCAATTGTGGCAATCATGTCGTCGACCGCAGCGCCATCATAAGCTTGGATACCCTGTGGGAATGAAGCGGCTACCCAGGATGCAAATGTTCTCTGAACATCCTCCAGGCTGGGTCGAGGGGGCATCGGAGACGTCTTTCGAGTGATAGTTCCAACGTGCGTCCCCGTGATTGTCAGCGTCCGATCAGCTGAGATGCTGTACACTGTCTTGGTGTTGCTGCTGGCTGAGCCGATGCCGTAGACACCAAGCGAAGGCACCGGGACCGTGAGGTCGGGAACCCAGCTCGGGTTATCAACCATCTCACACATCGAGAGGATGTTGGCTATCGAGACTGTCCTCAGATAGTTCTCCGTATAGTCAAAGTAAACATCCCTGGCACTCTTTGTTTTGGAGTAGTCTGGCTCGATTTGAAGCAAATCCTGTAGGCCGAGGAGACCATACACCCTGTCTCGCTCATCCTCGCACTCGCAATGCCGCGTCATGACGAGCATGTACAGGAAAGAGTTAACTCTGGGCTTGGAGAGGGCGACATCGCAGGCTGTTTCCAGGATCTCTCGAAAGTAGCCTTGTGACTCTTCGTCCAGGGCAGGTTGGTGGCCCACGGTGTAGCTTCGAAGGTGCTTCAAGCCGTTGCAGAACTCATCCCAGCTGAGCTCACAGTCGCCGCTCTGGAAGAGGGCCGAGTTGTTGGCTAGCCAGATCTCCTGGCGGATCCACAACCTCCTGAACCAGGCGTCGGCGAGGAGGGTCATCAAGGACCGCCAGTCGGCCTCAGGGAGTTGTTGGTCAAAGTCTGGAGTGAAATTTCTCAGGATGTTCATCGCTCGAGGCACGTCTTCATCTTCAGCGCTGAGCCAGAAGATGACCCTCTGAGCGTGGCGGTAGATGGCGCCCATACGCTGCACCTGAGCTGCCCGCTCAGTGAGGTTGCTCTGATCGATGCATACAGCATCGCACCAGAGACTACGGGCTTGGAGACTCTGTTGATCATTGGTATCATGACGAATGTGTCTGAGAGCCGACGCCAGATTCTGTCGGATCTGGATCGTGCCGATATCATTCGAAGCGTCGTCCACGATGTGCAAAGTGGCTGTTTCGCCCAGCTCTCCCCAGACATAGGACATTGCTTCATACTCCAGAGGGGAGGCCGACGGATCGAAATGCTGGTGTGAGATCCGAGCCCGGAGAGGACTGTCAAGGTCACCAGGGAGGAGGAGCAGGACTCGAATCTCATCCTGGTTCAGGGGGGTGTACAAGAAGTCTGTCGTGCCGGACGACATGGACTCCGACGTTTGAGACGATGGAGGCAATTGGACCATGTTGAAGATGAACGATTGAGAAAAGTAAGATCGATGGCAGTTTGATGCGATACAACAGCTTCTGAGAACACATGATAATCAACTAAAGAGGTGAGATAGACAGGCAGTTCATATAGCAGAGCGCATCCCTTCAGCTAATACCAAGATATCTCTGGAATTGATCTGGACCCGAGAGAACGGCTGAATACAGTTTTCGTGTGTTTACACACTTGGCGCCTCGCCTGTTCAGCTGGTCTTGGTATTGCACTTTCAAACACATTCCGGCCCTGTCTGTCAGACTCCAGATAGGGGGATTAGAACTCTCATTGGAAAACTTGGCACATGTGATCTTGAATCCGGAACGCCATCTTTCTTCTTTGGCGTCTGATGTCGGAAGCTTTCAAACTGGCTCACGATAACATCGTTGGTGGTCTTCTCGGAGCGACTTTTGGTTGTAACTCAGCGAGAATTCTTATTCCAGTATGTCTGAATTGATAATTATGGGTTTCATATACATGATGAAGCATGGAATTGAAGAGCCTTGTCGTTAGATGGGAAAAGGAGCTGTGCGTGCTAACCTGGGAATAGCCTCACTTAGAATCACCCTGAGAAGCCAGCCACATGTGGCTTGGTCTCTAGTGGCTGAGGCATTTGTTTACATAATCCAGGCCCCGCCCCCATGTTGAAAACTTCGCGCCTGCGCATTTCCCCTCCCCAAGGTCGAAAACCATCATCAAACGAACATTTCAGCACGCACAAGCCCAGGGCAGCCAGCCAGCTCCGTTTTCCACACCCCGCCAAGGTCAGGCATTCGTGCATGGTAGCTGTGGTGTCATCGGCTGAAACTGGGCAAAGCAGGACGCACGCGCGCATCATAATCAAGTGCAGCGGCCACCCCTTCAAGCCACCACCACGACCGCATTCGCGTCGGAAGCGCAGTCGCTGCAGACTCTCCTCTACATTTGTCGGCTTCGCCAAATCGGCGTCTGAGCCGAGGTCGGTCGTTTGGGAATTCCCGCAGCCAGTCGGGGAGGGAGGTCCGGTCCTCGACCAACAGGAGGAAGAGGAGGACATTGCCCAAAAAGTATTCTCCAAAAACTCGGTAGGCTTTATTTTTTGCAGCCTTTCCTTACCAATCAATCTGCATCTTGCTTGGCGACATCAAGAGAGGGGGTCCGAGGGAGAGAAGAGGAGACGCAACGCACCTGAGGCTACCTACCGTCTGCTTCAACTGCTGCCTGCTTTGCTACACATGTGAAATGTTGACTAACTCCCTATCGCTTGTGAGGTTTTAGCATCAAGTTCGTACGTATAGCGAGCGACTTGTTGCAACCGGCGGACTGCCCAAACCCCAACACGGGCTACCCCTCTTTGTCTTACACCGCTAGAAGGGACAGCACAGGCCCCCTCTGCGGATCCGATCCGTCGCGAAGATGCCGGCCATGCTGGACGACCCGGCGAGCCCCACAATCTACCGCGTCTCCGGCGCCCCGCCGTATCCGGACCCGAACAAGCCCGAACTCCCGGCCGACATCGTCCCCCGTCAAGTGACCCTCCGGGACCGCCAAACCGTCGCCACCATCATCCCCTTCGCGTCCCAGCATGAGGTCCCGCAGTCTCTCGTCCGCTACCTCAGCGACCAGCTCAACAAGGAAATCGAGGGCGGCGACACCTACCCCATGACCGACCGCATGCCCGCCGACAAGTTCGGGGCCTACTGGTTCCAGAACTTCGGCGCCATCATGCTTCTCGGCAACGTCGACCGCTCCGACCTCGCCGAGGACATGGACTGGTCCCGCGAGTGCCTCGGCAGCTTCTACATCAAGCCCAACTATCCCGGGCGCAGCTCGCACGTGTGCAACGCCGGCTTCCTCGTCACCGACGCCTCGCGCAACCGCGGCGTGGGCCGCCTCATGGGCGAGTGCTACATCGACTGGGCGCCGAAGCTGGGCTACACGTACTCCGTCTTCAACCTCGTCTACGAGACCAACGTCGCGTCGTGCAAGATCTGGGACGCCCTCGGCTTCAAGCGCATCGGGCGCGTCAAGGGCTGCGGCAACCTCAAGTCGCACCCGGGCGTGCTCATCGACGCCATCATCTACGGGCGCGACCTCATCCCCGGCGAATCCGAGGAACTCGTGAGTGAAGAGCGTTTCGACAAGATCAAGTTCTACCTCAAGTACGGCAAGTACCCGGCGGGGGCTGACCGCGCCGAGAAAAGCAGGCTCCGCAGCGCCGCGACGCACTATAAGCTGCTGGACGGCGACCGGCTCATGCTCAAGGACAAGGAGGTCGTCCCGGACCCGCGCCGCCAGTACGAGATCGCCCGCGAGGTCCACGTCGCCAGCCACGGCGGCATCAACAAGACGACGGCCACCATTGCCGAGAAGTACCACTGGAGCCGCATCAAGGAGACGGTTAGTGACGTGATCAGGAACTGCGCGGAGTGCAAGGAGCTGGGGAAGATGCCGGCGCCGGGGGGTAACGGGGGCGCGAGGGGAAGGACGGCGGCGGCAGCAGCTGCTGCTGCGGCTGCCTCGAACAAGAGCGCCGTGCCCATGACTAACAATTCTCTTTCGAATCCATCGTTATCTACTTCTTCATCTACACCGATGCCGTCTGCCGCGAGCGTCAGCGCCGCTGGTCGCGTTCTGGCGCTGCAGCCACACCATCTACCGCCGTTATCCCCGCCGCGGTCGTCGCCGTATGCGGAGGTCGCGTCAATACCACCGTCACATACCCTCCGCGACCCCTCTGATTCACCCTTACCTCGACATCCGCATCATAATCCCATGTTACAAGACGAATCGTACCAGCCTATCGACCCGCAGATCATTGGACCGCCGCCGACGTCTCATGATCCGTATAACCATTACCATCCACACCACACAGACTTTCAAGCTTTACTTAATGCCACGGAGGCCGAAGAGACGCCGGAGGAAGCAGCTGCTGTGGATCGAGACTTGGATATGCTGATAGAGCAAGGGGATGAGGAGGAGGATGACGTTGATGAGCCTATGGGAGACAAGGGACGGGACAAGGAGATGTATGGGATGGGGTACTCTGCGGGTTGAGATGAGTTGACGACATTTGGCGTTCGTGGGCAGACGTGTCGGTGGTGTTTACTTTTGCATTTTCTTAGACCCTTTTGCATACTTGGCAGGCATAGCACTCGAAGACGAATAGACTTCCTACTTCTCATACATCCATGCACACTGAAGCGGGTTATTGGTCATCAGCTGTGTGCAGACTTATTCTTGGCTCCGGGTTCTCTTCGTGCTGGGATCGGACCTGCATGCCGTCCCGTCTTGTGTAACCTCAAATACTTCACAGCATTTTAATCCCCCCCGGAGGTGCCGTTTTGCCTGCTGCTGAAAGGTACGTACTGCTTTGGTATTTGTGGGCCTCTCAGTGCATTGTGGACTACCACTCCGGGCCGCCCTCCCCTCAAGCTGCTGAAAGTTGCTGAACTATTCAATATCTGGAATTGAAATGGCCCTCTGTTTTTAGTAGCGTTATTTACATGCTGTTTTCTCAATCTTGTTCTTCGATAATTCATTTGGAGTTCTGAATAGGCTGGACTGGGTTCATACCCAGCTACGCGGTACTAATCATGCAGCCGCCTCATGTCAACTTGTGGTCACCGCAAGTCGACAGTTGAAGAATCACTCGCGACACGGCGTTCTCTCTGCCATTCTTATATGACTTGCATGCATTCATGTGAGAATCACATGGAATCATGCTGCTACTTGATGATAGCACGTGGACCGCTCATGGCAGACGACAAATGACCCAGTCTATTCAGACTTCTGGAAGCCAAAACCCCTGTGGGGCAATTCTAGGTATCATACAGACGCCATTCATCAAATCCTTTTGACTATTTCCTTTTCCATTCATTTTCTAGTCATGACCACCTTACCGGCGAGGCATGCCCCGGCCTCTGCCTCTCAGGGCGCGCTGGGCGGCACCAGGGGGCAGAGCCTGGCCGGGGGCCTGAGGTGCGGCGCTCTCCTCGTTGCGGATCGTCTCATCGACGCCGAGGATGAGGCAGCTGGCCTCGGTGGCAGCCTGGATGGCGTTGATCTTGACCAGCGCGGGCTCCCAGACGAAGCGCTCCATCATGTCGGTGACGCCCTCGTTGTTGAAGTCGACACCAGACCATGTGTTGCCCTTGCGATGCTCCACGCGCAGCTTGTTGAGGATGTCGGTCGCGTCGAAGCCGGCGTTGTCGCAGAGCTGGCGGGGGATGATCTCGAGAGCCTTGGCGAAGCTCTTGATGATGGCTTGTTGCTTGTGGGGGATGTTCTTGTCGGCGAAGCGGTGGAGGTAAGCGGAGACCTCCATCTCGGTGGCACCACCACCACCGACAATGGTGTGGTTCTTGATGGCGCGCTTGACGATCATGATGGCGTCGTGCAGCGAACGCTCGACCTCGGCGATAAACTGCTCGGCACCACCACGCAGCATAAGTGTGCAGGTCTTGGCCTCGGGGCAGCCCTCGAAGAAGTTGAAGCGCTCGCCACCAATCTGGCGCTCCTCGAAGCTGCCGCAGGTACCGAGGTGCTCGGCCAGGATGTCAGAGCACGTTGACTGAACAGTTGCGCCGGTAGCCTGGACCACGCGCTCCATATCCTGGGCGGCAACACGGCCAGCACAGAAGACATCGCGGTCCGCGAAGAACTGGGTAGCCAGGTCGCCAATGGGCAGCTTGCTGAGAACGACCTTGGCACCGGTCTTGTAGATAGCCTCCAACTTTCTGTAGATAATCTGCCACTCCGCATCGACGACGGCCTGGTAATCCGACACCTGCTCGACGCGCACCTCGGCGTTGTCCTTCTCGGCCTTGAGCTCCAACTCGACGTTCAGGCACACAATCTTGGGCTTCTGGAAAGACTTGGGTTGTTGCTCGAAACCGGCGTAAGAGAAGGTCTTCTTGAAGGCGACACCGTTGACGAAGAGGGAGTCGGTGAGGGAACCGCCGGGAATCTTCTTGACGCCGATCAACTTCTCGTTCAGGTCGTCTTGGTCGAGGGAAAGGACGGCATCGACAACCACTGCGATACGTTAGAACTGGCACTATCGGAAGGTAATCGTGTCGACGTACTCTTTGTGAAGAAGTCTGTGTTGCGCTTAATCAGCTTGCTCGTCATGGCGGTGGCGGCAAGCTTGCTGAGTGTTTCCCTCCTGTTGCCCTCGTTGGTATCGATCGCGATCTCCTTGACCTTGTTGACCGCCATCATGGACGCTCTTCTCAGACCCTTGATAATGACCTGGGAGCTGACGCCCTGCTCGACGTGCTCCTTGATCTCCTTAAGGATCTCTCCGGCCAGGACGACGACGGATGTTGTGCCGTCACCGACTTCGGCATCTTGTGATCTCGCAATGTCGACGAGGATTCGGGCTGCGGGGTGGACAATATCGAGGAGCTATCGGCGTGTCAGCAATTCAACCTCCATTGTGCTGCCCGCATCGTTCTTCCTGACCTTCATGACAGTAGCACCATCGTTGGTGATGGTCTGCTTGCCGTTGGCGTCGACCATCAACAGGTCACCGCCATAGGGGCCGAGGGTGGACTTGATGGTGGCCTGTACAGCCAAGCATGCGTTGATGTTGGAGATAATCTGACCCTTGCCCTGAGAGGTATCGGTTCCTGCGCAAGAGACTCGTCAATCGTGGCCCGCGGGCGGGCAAGGGGCGGTGGGGTAAACTCACCCTCTTTCAGGACGATAATGGTCGGGGTCTGGCCTCCGAACGACATCTTGGTGGATTATTTGTGTGACGACGAGTACAAGGCCAAAGGGAGCGTGTCGTTGGGTTTGGCGAGGTTCGTGTGTCGTCGCGGGGAGGCTGAGGTTCGGCTGTTGGTGGCCCAAGAAGCTTCTGGAGCTCCCAAAAAATTATTGCAGCCTTTCGTGATGCCCGCCGGGCACGGACCAGTGTGTGTTGTTGCCTTACCTGATATGGCGATTATGTAATTGAGGAGGGGTACTGCGACCCCGGTCGCCCCTGCCAGCTGCAGCCCCACCAAACGTCTTCTTCTTTCATCAACAGTTGAGCTTCGAAGGCACAGCTCTCCTCACAACGATTTGGGTTCTTGAGATGGATGATTTCGGCTGTGAGCATCTGACGAGTGGTAGAATTGCACTTCAAAGGCTATCCCTGGGAAATGGCGATATCGACCTAGAGGTGCCCAGCTGCGCCTTCGTGGTCCCTTGCGGTAGCCAACCATTGCTATGCATCCATCCTACCAATCGGCAGCATCTTCAACTGCAGGCTGACAATCCAAGCTAACAATCTCTCTCCAGCTCACATTCACCACTCAATCCCTGCCTCCTTCTCACTACAGACAATAGGAAGCAGATGTTGGATCGAGTACTCGCGTCAGACTTGCCATGTCTACCATCACCTACCGCCAAGGGTTAAGTGGCCAGGAGATTCGTCTCCTTCGTCTTCTGCCTGGGGAGTGGCTCGAAGACCTCGCTGCGGAATTGTATGTCGCCGACCGGGATCATGACTATGTTGCGTTGTCCTACGCTTGGGGTAGCACTCGAAGGTCCAACAAGATCATCGTCAACCGTCATGTCCACTTCATCACCTTCAACCTCGACCGGGCGCTGAGGGCCATTCGCCGAACCACAGAATCCGTCGTCATCTGGGTGGATTCCGTGTGCATCAACCAGGAAGATGCTGCCGAAAAGAGCCATCAAGTAGGATTGATGCACGGAATTTTCGGTTCCGCCACCGAGGTCATTGCCTATGTGGGCGATGGCTTGGATCGCAGTCGTCAAGATTACCCTCGCCGTTTCGCAAGACTTGGACAGACCGATCCGGTGCGTTTCACTGGCAAACGGACGGACTTGCCTATTATCGAGAGATCGATCAGTCTTTGGCAGAACTCGACGTCAGGGTCGCTAACAGAACACGAGGAGATGCTATGTCTTTACAGTATTATTTCGGCCCAACAACATGAGAGCACAACGCATCCAGCACGGCAGTGGATGTTTGATGACGGAAATCCGACTGATGAACGGCGTCTGCAAATCATGTCGGAGAGAATCCGATTTTTCGCCGTCAGCGACTGGTGGAATCGCATGTGGATTATTCAGGAAGCCTGTGTTGCAAGAGAGCTAACCATTATGTATGGTCGCGTTTCGATGCCGTTCAGATTCATTGGACACGGTGTCAACGCTGTTTTGAGCTCTGCTGTCCCGGATTCCACTGGGCTTGCCAGAGTGTTGTCCTTCTTGGCCGAAAAGGCCAATGCGATCGACTACCTACGAACGATGAGATCATTCAGATCACTACCCTTCGGAAACAACAGTCCACTCCTCTGGTTACTAAGAAATTGCCGGCACAGGCGATCATCCGAACCCCGCGACAAGATATTCGCTCTGCTCCGACTCGCGCTTGACTTCGTAAAGAAAACTTTCTCGATTATTGGTGCTGATTACAACGTCAGCGTACACACGCTCTTCGCACGCGTGGCCTACGGAATCATCAAGCAAACTGGTCTTCTGTGGGTTACAACATTTGACCTCCTTGCGAAGACCCGGAACGATGTGCCTTCGTGGGTCCCTGACTGGTCATCGGACTATGCGGTTCCCGGCTGGAATCAACATCGCGTGCGCCTCCACGGAGACCTTTTCCAAATGTTTAACGCCAGTCGTGCTAGGTTTCTACACCACAAGCAGGACGGCTCAGAAGATGTCTATGTCTTACCACAGCAGCATTTTCGACGCTTGGCTGACAAGGACCTTGTTACTGGTTCCGACTGGGAGCCAGTTCATCGTCTACCCACTCAGGTAGCTCCAGAACACCCCGAAGCACAACAGTCATTTGTCTTGAACGTCTCCGGGGCTGCGTGTGGAGATGTTTTAGGCATCACCGATTCTCTCGCAAGCGATCTCGCTAACCTCGAGGAGATACTCTATCAAATCATCACAATATGCCGGCTTTTCAAGGATGAATGTCAGCTGCAATATCGCAAGCCTTTCGTGGAGATCATTTCGCGTATTCTTTGCTTTTCAGCGAGAATCCAAAGGGTCTCTGGTGGCTATACACCACCACGTTGGCTTAGCAGCGCAGAAGAAAAACAGTTGTCTTACTGGATATTGGTCCGTTTTCTGGCGTCCGCCTTTGCGAACTACTGGCCGCGCAACGAATCCTACAGCGAGGATGATATCATGTTCTGGAACAAACACCTGCAGGACAGCGAAGAATGCAGCTTGCGCATCAGCGAGTGTGCTGGTGATCCACCCTTGTTTTGGACAATTTCATCTCAAGCAGAGAATCCCGCCAGTGACGATGATCTAAGCCTTCCGCTCTTCACATTTACCAGCGATTCCAATCTCAGAACCGAGCATGGGGATGTCAAACCAACGGGGATACGGCCAGGAGATAATTGTTGGTTTGAGGACACCATCAGAGCTGTGGCTAGTGGCAGTCGACTCTTCCTGACCTCCAAAGGCCAGCTCGGCTTGGGGCCAGAAAAAATGCGCGCAGGGGACGCGCTCTGCGTCCTCGAGGGCGGCCTGATGCCTCATGTCTTGCGAGGACGACAGCAGAAACACGGGATGATCATGGTAGGCACATGTTACGTTGAGGGGCTCATGCATTGGGGAAGCGAGGCGGAAAATTACGCGGACAACGCGAGGGACACTGAAGGCCTGGAACACAAGCTGAGGCGACGATTACGGGACCGCAGTATTTCGCAGGAAGATTTCCTGCTTTACTGATTCAAGCGCGACACTGAGTCGGTGGGTCGACAGTCTATTTGAGCGGCCGCTCCGAACAGATGCCATGCGGCCGACCCAGCCTGATGGTCCTCTGCCATCACGGGCAGCCCCTTATTCTCATTAACCTTAGCACGTCATTCACCTATCGCTGTTACTCGCCAAACCATATGCTATGATGCAACCCACCGGCATGCGTATCGACCAGAAACAGACAAGGACAGGAATTCACAAGTCATCACCACGACGATCAAGCTGCGGATCCGAACTCCATTGGGCCCTCCTATGGTGCGGGATAAGCTTTCCCTAATAGAACAACATGCCTTAGTCAATGCAATGGGCCCCGCCCCCCGTGCGACACGAGCGGAGCGGAAGAGCTCTAGAATCGTTTGTCTGGCCTTCTTAGTACGATGTTAGCCAGCAATTATTCATGCTTCATTTTTTCCAAGTGCCGGGGCAGAACCAGCTCATGCGGCTTATCAACTGCTAGCACCGTTTACACCGCATCCCTGGGACAACGACCCTGCCATGATTCCCCCCTAGGCTCAGCTCAGCCTCCAGCCTCACGTGGGTTTCATTCCCTTGATTGCCCAAGCATGCAGTGGAAAATACAGGGGCGCGAAGCATTCCCGCCAGATCTATGGACAGCGCAAGCCACAATCAACGATCCTAACCCGACGGAGGAAAGCCCAGCTTAGTCACCGGAGTGCACTCCATGAGACTCTTCTCTCCATTTTCTCTTTTCGTATCAACTCCGACGCGGCAGTCGACCGGCCGAGATGGGGGGAAAGACAAGCGAGACACTCGCACACTGGCCGCAGGGAGAAGAAGGGCAGAGGCCTGGAATGATTGGCGCTCAAGGGCGTTTTGCCTTCATGCCTGACCCTGGGAATCCTCATTCTGCGAATCCCTGGTTCCTGGGATGTGGGTGAGACCGTCGACGCGGCGGTGGAGGGATGAGAATGGCGATGCCTCGTTTCTTGTTGTCCCCACGGGCGTTGGTCTTGGCAAAAATGGAAGGGAAGAAGAAAAAGGACGAGCCTTACCTCTTCTCTCGACCGTCGCCCTTTTGCGTTTCTGGACACACAGACGAAACTCTAACTTCGACCGGCTCTCTCCGCGGTTCATCTTTGGTGACTAGGAGGACGTTTCGTTGTCTCTTCTTTTGAATTTGGCCCATTTCTCTATTAGGAGAAGCTCGTGGCTCTTAGCCTCGATCCTTGTCGAACTCTTTTCACGATCCTGCTGGTTCTGCTCGAAGCAGACATCCCAGTAAGATGATTTGGCTGAAGAAGGCGGCCGTCTTGGCCGTCTTTTCTCTGTTGCCTATCATAAATGCACAGGAGATTCCGGGCTGTTATGGCCCGATAGCCGTTGGTCAGGACACTACAGACCCCAACTACCAGCCGCGGACGGATTCGACGCAGGGAACGGGAATGACACAGGAGAAATGCGCAACATTTTGTGCACCTTACCAATACTACGCCTTGTCTAATGGGGCAACTTGCACCTGCGGCAACACCGTCACCGGGGAGAACACAGATGGTCAATGTACCAGCACTTGTGCTGGAGATCCATCCGAAAATTGCGGTTCTGCGGCCAATCAGTATGTGTTGGAACATGAGCCTGTCACTTCTACGAGCACTACCTCCACGGCAACCGAGACTTCCACGGCGGACGATACCTCTGAAACTGATTCTACCGCTACTACTACCGATGATGCCACCGCTACCGACAGTACGGCTACCGCAACGGATGATGCCACTGCCACGGATGAGGCGACGGCTATGGACACAGACAGCACTGCTACTGCTACGGACAGCACAACTACCGCGACGGACGAGGCTACAGCCACTGATGAAGCGACTACCACGGACACGGATAGCACCACGACAGCCACGGACGAGGCCAGTAATACGACTGATGAGGCCAGCACACCCACTGATGAGGCCAGCACAACCACTGATGCCGCCAGTACAACCACCGATGAGGCCAGTACAACCGCTGACCCGGATGAGGTCGCCACTACAGACAGTAGTACATCCACCGCTACGGACGAAGCTAATTCCACGGATTCCAGTTCAACTGAGGAACCGTCTAGTACCACTGAGACATCCGTTGAGGCCACTAGCACAACCGAAGATGCCAGTACAACAGAAACCTCAACTGGAGTGACTACGACTGAAACTTCCAGCACGGAGACCTCCAGCGAGGCGACCAGCACTGAAGAAGACGTCATCGGCACATCGACCGAAGCAAGTAGTTCAACAGAGGAAGCGAGCACAACGGCGACCCCTACAGAAGCAACAAGCACAGATGAGCCAAGCTCAACTGAGGCTACATCGACTGCGCCAAGCTCGACTGAAGCTTCATCGACGGAAGCGACATCAACTGACACTAGCGCTACTGAGACATCTGCCGAGATTAGCACGACTGAGACGTCCACTGAAGCTAGCACTGCGGCCACACCCGCGGAGACTAGCACTACGGCGACTTCAACTGAACCTAGCAGTTCGTCAACGGAGGTCGAATCTACCAGCTCCACGGAACCTGAGTCTACCAGCACAGCGGAAGTCGAGTCTACCAGCTCATCACAGGTCCCGCCAACAACGGTATCGTCCACCGAGAATTCCGCCGAGCCGACTACAACTTCCACTTCTTCCGAATCACCGATTGCGACGAGCAGCGCCACATCTCCTGAATCATCTACTGACCCAACGACGAGCAGCACTAGCTCGGAGCCTCCTCTTGAATCGACTACTGCCACATCCAGCTCCGAGCCTGAGTCGACCCCCAGCAGCGCGACATCTGGAGCCCCTGTTGAGCCAACGACAAGCACCTCCTTTACTGCGGAAGAGACGACCAGCAGCACAAGTTCCGAGCCCACGGTCGAGTCGACGATCTCCTCCACGTCCGAAGTTCCCGTTCAGTCGCCCACAAGCACTTCAACTGAGCCTCCCGTGCAACAGACTTCAACTTCTACGGAGCCCTTGGTGGCGCCTACAACGAGCACCACAACCTCCGAGCCTCCTGTGCAGCAAACATCGACTGCCTCATCGGAAACTCCAGTCCAGCCTACGACTTCGTCTACTTCTACGGAAGTTCCAGTCCAGCCTACGCCTACTTCGACGTCTTCGACGGAGAATCCTGTCCAACCGACTACGAGTTCTTCCACTGAAGCCCCTGTCCAGTCAACTTCGTCTTCAGCACCTGTTCAACCGACGTCGAGCAGCAGTACATCAGAGGCTGCAGTGCCAAGCTCAACCCCATCTCCATCGCCTTCCCCGTCGCCTTCACCGTCGCCATCGCCCAGCTCGTCTCCGACACCGGAATCTTCCCCCTCGCCGTCGCCTTCGCCTTCTCCCTCGCCTTCGCCGTCGCCTTCACCATCCCTCTCACCTTCACCGTCGCCTGCACCATCCCCCTCACCTTCGCCATCGCCTGAGCCCTCACCTTCGCCTGGGCCTAGTCCGTCTCCATCACCGGAACCTTCTCCCAGCCCCTCGCCGGCTCCCAGTCCATCACCAGAGACTTCACCAAGCCCGACTCCCAGCCCCTCGGAATCTCCCTCTCTGACTCCTACCCCAGAGCCCGAGTCTTCCCAGAGTCCGACACCCGTGCCCTCCTCGGCAGATGCGCCGCCGAATTCCACCCCACCGGCAAGCCCGACATCGCCTTCATCAGGCGGAACGGTCACCTCGGCAAGCCCATCATCTTCTGCATCTGTCTCAATCTCTGTACTCAGCACCGAGCCCGTGGCATTCGAGGAAGTCTTCAAAATTCAACCTGGCGAAGCTTTGATCGTGAACTTTGAGGTCATCGACCCTGTCACCGGTGAGAGGTCCACTGCTCCGTTCGTTGTGCAGTCTCAGGGCTGCAGAGGTGTCACGCCCGGGGAGTCACCATTCAGTGGGAACACGCTCACCGACGCTGCAAGCTATAGTGCGGCCACTTGCGCCGTCTACTGCGCGACCAAGGGGCTCACTAACACTGGTGCCGACCAGGGCACCTGCTACTGTGGTAGTGTCATCAGGGATCTTCCTCTCATCCCCGCGGAACAATGTGCGGCGGCTGGGAACAAGCGCCGTCGTGGTTTCCGTCTTGGCAAACGCCAAAGCGCGGTTAACGCCATTCCCTTGTTTGCAGTCATTCCGGCATCGCAGGTGGCCATCACTCCTGCGACTGTCACATTGTCGTCCTCCAGCATCGCAAGTCTTCCATTGGCGAACAGTGCACCCGCATCAACCACTGCGAGCACCATCTCCGTGACGACGCCTGGAGCTAGCACTGCATCTGTCAGTGTTTCGACGACGCCTGGTAGCCTGTCAGGAAGCAACGCCCAGTCCAGCCCTGTTGCGTCCGGATCGACCCCCGCCTCTTCGTTAGTGTCTGCATCTGTCACACCGTCTGGAGTCGGCTCTTTATCGAGCTCAGGGGCTGCATCTATTACCCCGTCTGGAGTCAGCTCCTTGCCCAGCTCAGTGCCTCCAGGCAGTTCACCACCAACTAGCCCTGGATCTAGCAGCTCGGCCATATCTGTGCCGTCAACAATTGTCCCGTCAACGAATGTGCCGTCTAGCCCTGTCTCGAGTCCGGCCGCCACTGGCCAATTTGTGGGAGAGTTCATCCTGGCTATTGTCGGCGGCATAGCCCCGAGCAGTGTCCCAAGCAGCAGCGGCTCAGGCTCCAGCACCCGTCCAGTCTCGACTCCGAGCTCGTCAATAGCTACCAGCTCTTCAAGCCCTGCGTCTGTGGGATCCAGCTCTCGCACTTCGAGCACCCCTGGCGCGTCAATGTCCTCGTCAAGTGTTGTCTCCTCTGGCATCGGGAGCTCCTCCGTCGCAATCAGCTCGTCTCCCCCTGCCTCCTCTTCCGGAAGCGCTATCTCAAGCGCGTCTTCTTCCCCGCCGGCATCCCCTGTTATCACGGCACCAATCTCCAGTCCATTTTCAGTGAGTAGCTCTACGACGTCAAGCAGTCCCATGCCTTCAAGCTCGCCTCAGCCCAGTTCCCCATCATCGAGCTCTGCTCCAGCTAGCTCCCCATCTAGCTCTGCTCCTGTCACCTCCTCGTCAAGCTCACCTCCATCGAGCTCCCCACCCTCCAGCTCTGCCCCCACCACCTCACCAAGCTCTTCGCCTTCCAGCTCGCCGCCAGTTATTTCATCTTCATCCAGCCCCGTTCCAACGACGTCTTCGTCGAGCTCTCCCTCACCTAGCTCCTCGCCCTCTAGCTCGCCGCCGGTCACTTCATCTTCTTCATCATCCTCTTCCAGCTCCGTTCGGCCTAGTAGCTCCCCGCCTCCCATCATTCAGTCAGAACGGCCTTAGTCGCTGAATAGTTCGCCTCTTCTAAGAACGTTGACATCTTCGATGTTATCAGCATAGACTCTAGGAACGTCGACTAGCGCGCATTTCTAGGGTCTACGGTACGATGGACGTGGATCTGATTTGGTGCCTCATGTGTTGTAAGCACCTCTGGATTCGAGGCCGTTGAATGTGTGGCGCTTAGTTCAGCTTCCAGAAACGAAAATCAGTAATGTGAAGGAGAGTGCGATTCGGCTTGAGTTCCTTTGTAATGAGTAAAGAGTATAGATGTGGAGCATGTGTGCTGTTCATGGAGAACAAAAGCTTGTTCAACTGATTGATGATGATTTTTACTGGAACCTGTCGTGATTTATGTATAAACAGTTACCTTTGGTATTATGTTTGGCAGTTTGGCCCACTCTCAAGGGGGCTTAGCAGTTCTTCTAAAGTAGAGCGAAGCCGTCAAGCATAACATCAAAGGCAGATGGTTGTGTGTGCGTGGCGACAGGTTCACCATAGTAAAACAGGCGTACATCCAAAGTACTGAAAATGCTTTCGTAAAGTATATTGTACAATGAACTATGCATAGAGGCAGAGAAGTCCCATGATTCTCAATACTCCAGCCACCAGAAACTCCGTCAATGCTTCGTGAAGATGGTGGCTTAACCGCCGTAGCAGTACTTGCTCAGGTTGGGGTTCAAGTTGCCGCAGACGCAATCACCGGCGGGGGCACTAGTAGAATTGTTAGTTGTCACTTTGGGCATAAAGAAGGAGTCCGACGTACCCGTGCTTCTGGAACTTGTAAAGGAAACCGTTGGGGTTCTCGACAGTGGCGTCAGGGCATGCCTTCAGGCAGGTATCGTCAACCGGGACGCGGTTGTTCGGGTTGTCGACGCAGATGGCTGCGTTGGTCCACATGCAAGCGTTGGCACCCTGCTTGTGGCAGGCTTCAAGCTGGGCCTGGCAGCACTTGTCTGTGGCAACCTCGTAAGCCCAAGCCGGAGCAAGGACGGCAAGAAGAGTTGCGGCAATGAAGGAGAATTGCATTGTGATTGACGATTTTTAAAAGGAGCGTGTGAGTGACTCAAGGATGGATGTAAAGACTGATAGATGTTGAATGTGCTGCTGGTCAGAATCACGGTTGGTAGGGCTGGGAACTGGTTCTTATACGCTCATGGCTACTAATCAGAAACAACCATGAGAGTGATGAGCCGGGAGCCTCGGGATATGGCCAACACGGCTTTTGCACATTGATCCGATTTCCGAAGGCACTGCCTCCATTGTGGGATACCGAGAAGTCTTGAGGCTGACAACGGTAATATATTTGACATCGGCAAGTTCGTAACTAGCTCCTTTCTAGAAGAGTGAAGTGGATAAATAATTGGGCTCACATGAATCGTACAACCATGACAGATCAATTAAGCTTTCTTTCGTTGTCACGCTGCTAACTTCAACTCTAGAGAGCCGCAACCGAGCACCCCTCGTAACCGGATGACTGCCTGCCGTATGGCGCATTAAAGATTTTGGCAACAAGTTCTCCGAATGGGTTTTTACTTTCTATGGTACAGCCCAAGCCGACGGCTGTGAAGTATTTGTAACAGCACGGCTGGAATTTCTTTCAGAAGTTCCCATGCCATGAGTCGTAAAGTATTTGGCGTGGATTTCCCTGCCCAACTAACTTCTGTTACTCGTCCGTGTCCGCCCCCACCATGACACCTATCACTGAAAAACCGAACGGGCACACCGGTAAGCTTTGGAATAAAGTTTACATGTTCATCCATTATTTGATCCGATCTACGAGACTTGCCGTTTGATCTGAAAAGCATGAACTTGGCACTATACGGTCGGTCTCCGAGGGCAGAATATCATCAACACGTAGCCGTTATACACGCTAATAGTGAAGGTTCTTCTGGAACGCCGTAAGGTTTCCTCTTTTGGGAACATCAGGTGACTGATCGAAATCTGAAAACCGGGATCTCGGCAAGAATAACAGTTCACGAACTCCAAGATTGAGTTTACAAGTTCATCTGGCATTTCCTGGATTGGGGGCGCAGATCTTGCTGCCTAGGATAGTCATATCCCAAATGGACCATTTGAATTAAAAGAAAGTTTTCTAATATCTGTGAGGCTCGCGAAAGAGAAGTTTTCCTTCGCATTCATTTTCCGATATCCGAGAATCCCGCGCGGAGTTGGAAAATGCGGCTAATGGCGACCGACTTGGTGATGGGATGAACATATAAGATAAGCTCAACGGCTGTCACGTCTTTCCATCTCTCATCCCTCACAACAACAACATTCACTCTTTAGAGCTCGAAGCATACACTCGTTATCTCACACTCTTTACGTCTACAATCAATTCGCCAAAATGAAGTCCTTCCTTCTCCCTCTCGCGCTCTTCATCGCCGCCGCCCAGGCGCAGTTGATCCTCGGCGCGCTTGCTCTCATCGAGTTCACCATCGAGATCCTCGAGGCCGAGGCAGTCGTCGCGACAGTCGAGGTCTCCGTCGATGCAGCCCTGACCGGTGCCGAGGCTGCTGAGACCGCCGTGATCGAGGGCTCTATCACCAACGTCGGCACCACCGTCACCCGTGCGGGCGAGGGGGCCATCGAGCTCGAAGGCGAGGCATCCCTGTCTGGTTTCGGCCGCGTCGCGACCGAGGGCCCCGGCTTCGCCCAGGGAACCTTCACCTACCGCCAGCCCTACCCCCTCGGCGTTGGCGCGGGCCGCAGCGCGACTGCGAACCCGCAGATCTCTCTCAACTTTGGCGCTCGCACCAACGCTATCCGCTCCGGAGGAACTACCAAGATCAACTTCAGCAACCCCTCCATCAACAACGTCCGCATCACCAACCCCGGCGGAGCTCGCACCAGCGTCCGTATCAAGGGCCAGCCCCTCACCAGGCTTCTTTCTTCTAGCTAGACGGCGAATCATGGGACGAGGTTTGGTCCAAGCAGCTTCTCAGTTTGGGAATGATGCTATGATCATACCTCAGTTGGCCTGATCGCAAATTTTCGCTGGCATCTCGTGCGGTCACATGCTGTGAAATTCATGCATGAATTACATTGTTATTAGCTAAAGCTGGGTTAGACAGACCGCATCATGTCGGTTTTGGTGACTTGTCGAAGAAACCCATGTAGACTTAACGAGAGATCATACACAACGTTCAATACCATGTTCAACTGAGGCTTCCTTCTGGTGACTGCTATCCCATCGAGTGCGACGCCAAATTCGCCAAGGTGCGGAGAACGCCAATTAACAAGCAGGATATCACGCTAATACTTTTTTCTAGCCACTTAGAAATTCTGATATCAAGGAAATTGGAGAAAAAAGCGGGCATGTATTTTTGGCGTCAACTCGCACTCGATGGGATATCCTGCCGACCGAGAGAAATTTTTAGTGTGTTCAAAAAGCATATTCGACGAAAAGAAAATGAGAGTGCTTTTAGCTAGCTACTTATCGAACAGGGATACAACTATAGGCTAGAGTTACATCATAGAAGCAGTTGGCAGAACCAACAAAGACCACCTCTTCTAGAGAGGTGCTCTTATTCGGAGAACCTTTAAATATTGATGTACTGATTGCGGACAGGATGTTGATCGTTTTATTCAATCATCCTAGAATGAGGGAGACGTCCTCCAAGGCCAACTCCTCCCATGCTGCCTTGTCGACTTCGCCACACGCAAGACGGTGAGCGACGCCATCGATCCACTCCACCCACAGTACGCTATATACCTCCCAAGAAATGAAAGGAGCCGTGTAACAGCCGACACTATCATCAAATGTCTGCTTGTACCTGCATGCCTGACAAATAGCAACTAATTCGACCTCTTTCGCCGTAGCCCAATCGGACTCTGACGGTGGAAAATGTTCCAACTGCTGCTTGTTGTGTAAATGAAGGTTCCCTATGACAACTTTCTTCTTGTTGTAAAGCTCAACTTTGTTGTATTGACCTGACTTGTATAACTCGTGATGTCGTCGTCGTCACCTGCCTGGAAAGCAAAGACAAAGGTACGGCGAGTGTCGCAACAAAGGTATGGCGTCTGTTCTGGCATGTATGGCTGTGTAGATTCGTCGATGTGCGGCACTGGAAACGGCCAGTGCCAATCGTGTTCATCACGATTTTCAGTCATATTGCGGTGCCGGAATGTAGATTCATCGCATCCGTCTGGATACAGCAGAACATCTCCGTCCTTTCCATCCCCGTATCCCGGATTGTTCACCTTTGGGATTACGTGTATGGCCCACCCTGGCAGGAGGGGCCTTTTGAAGTCTTTGTAAAGTTCTCGATTCTCGTACCAGGTAGCTTTGATCTTGCGCTTCTGGCCCGCGTTTGGGGAGCTGCAGGCATACCATGTGGTGATTGGGATCGTCTCCTTGATTTTCCAAGTCTTCGGATTCGCCGGACCAGCTTCCAAGCTTCCGATATCAACAAGTCCTTCCCACCCGATCCATGACCAGGATGGAAGAAGGCATGGATGTAGTCGGCTTGTATCGAAGCGGTCGGAATGTACTCGTCGTCGGAGGTCGGTGTGATACCAGGTAGGTTGCCAGCTAAGTGCGGTTTCGAGAAACATTTCAGGGATACCACAAAGGAACCCCCCGGAGAAGCAACGGCTGAACACAGTAAGTAACCCAGTCATGCCGGGCAGACAATCCTCATCGTAGGATAACTTCATGTCGTTGTAGTAGCCGATCAGATTGCTGAGTGACCTGATGTTCGGCATGCCGCGCATGATTTCCCCCGCGCGAGGATTCAGGTACTTTCTGGCTTCGACCCCGTGGTGCAAATGTTCTTCCCACACACTGCACTGACACATCCAATGCAATGAGTCTTTGCTGAAAATGAGTCATCTAGGAGACATGTTGAACTCCTGAAACGTCCAACCGCGTTCGTGGTACATACTCCACGAGATGAGGCCAAAGTAGCTGAGCTTATCTAAAATGAACTGCTCGTTACCAAATTGAATGAGAACTTCGTCGTCTCGATCCTTTTCCCGTGAGATGTCTCTAAGGCCCGGAAAGCCATCTTCAGCATCCCGGTCTAAAGCAACGATGGTTAGAGATGCATTCGCATATATGGCCCCCATATTCTGAAGTTGTGTTGTGCTCTCGGCAATACGAGAATGGTCGATGCAAAGAGTATCAACCCAGAGATAACGCTGACCGACCAAAGAAGTCAGGGCTATGGCTTGCCGCACCATAGGCGCAAGTTGGGTGGCGATAGCAGGGTCGTCAAGGGAGTTGGGCCTCTGGAGATTTGACATGGTGTCAGGTTGAATGTGCAAGCCGGGAGCCTTTCCCCATCTGTAGCTCAAAGCAATAAAGCTGGCGCATTGATCTCCTGGTACCAAGCATTTGGCCTTTGTATCGACGACCCAGGCTGGACGATATGACCATATCTTCATGGGGTTTTCGCACTTTGCGCCGTGAGAGGACACACATTGCTCCAGCCAGTGGTTGACGACGCTCAATTCAACCCATTTGGGGTCCAGGAGGCGGGCGATACCGGGATGGTTCTTTACAGAATCCTTTCTAATTAAGCAAAGTTCGGCACCACGGCCGAGATTTTGGATGGATTCTGTCAAAGCGAGAACGCCTGGGCGAGGACGATGAATGCCGACGTCCTTCGATGTCTTCGAGGGGCGGAAAGTTTGACCTGGTTTCTCGCAAAACTTCTTGAACCACTCAACAATGGGTTTGTGCCTTTTGCAATTGGAGTGCCTCCTCAAAAGAGCCGAGACTGATTGATGTACTCTGTGCGTTGTCGGAAGAATCACCAAGTCTGCTCCAGATGCCAGAGCAGATGTCGCACTCCGAAAAGTCATCAATCGGGATGAGAGACATGGTGATTTTCTTCTCCGTGTTTTGAGTCTCGAGGACGCCTAGAGCCAGAATAGTCAGTCAAGGTTTGAATGTGAGCAGAACATACCTAAGTACCAAGAGAATTGTCTTTGTGAGTGATTGGACGTTTGGGTATCTCTGAAATGCATTAAACAGACATTCTCCTTCCCTCTTTGTGCTCTCTGAGTTTGAGATGGAACTTGGACAAACTGTTACTGCCTTCTTCATTTGTGGCAAGGAAACGTCCCTCGGAAGCCAAGATTGTCCTTGTGATGTGTCCTCAAGTCAGCAAGGCAGAATCGAAAAGCAGCCGGTGTCAGCCAATTGAGGGTGAGTACGTTCTGAGCACCGATGTACTAGCTTATGGCGTAGTTACCATGTGGGGCTGATTCAGGCTCACTGCCAAGATGACCAAGATTGCCCAGCGGCTGCCAATGAGCAGCCCTGGGGGAGGAAATCGAACATTACAGTCTCATGCATTATTGCGCAGGGAAGACGCGATGGCGGAAATGGAGATGTAGATCCCTCGGGTCCTCTTCGATATGCACTATGAAATCAGTCACATGGAACGCAGGTTTTAGACTGCCCAATGTGGCAGGAACGAACGCCAGGATATCAATGACCGCAGGGGGGTGGAGCGAGAGTATCACAAGGCAAATTTGATATAAGCTCTGGCTAGTCAATTGGATGAATGTAATTGTGTTGCAACTAGCCAAGGTTTTCCTTGAATACCTCTGTGACAGGAAATAAGTACAGAGTAAACATGCGCATTAGTCGACATGCTAAGAATTGGCCTCTTCCTATCGTGCATTAAAGGCTGTGACTAAATATTCGGGCACCCCATATTTTCAAGATGTACTTGGTGACGAATCAGAGACCGATCCATGTCGTCATGAGTCTTGAGCGTCCGAGGATGGTATCTCATTAGTATGTGTCCAGCGGCCGCTGAGCGTTGTCAAGATCGAACGGAATCTTAGTCTCGTTCATACATTGATTCTTAACCGGATTCGAAGCAAAGCGATCCTGCATGAACCTGAGCCACTCAGGTGTCGCAGCCGTCAAAACAGCACTGTGATCTAGGCCCGGGTATACACTCAAATGGATGATATTCCCGTGCCCACAAGAGTCCTTCCATGAAGCAGTACCAGACTCCTCCGAAACAATAGTATCCTCCGCCCCAAGAATCAGAAGCAGGGGCTTGGAAGCACTGTCACCTTGAGCAGGAGCGTTCAGCTCCTGGAATTGCTTCAAGATCGTGTCCGACTCGGCGGTGAAGTTAGATAGAGCATCGAAGCCCAAATCGCTCGTCAGACCGGAGATGGCGGCGTCGCAGAACTGGCCGATCTTTGCAAGCTCGATTCGGGTCTTCATCGTCTGCGAAATGACTGGGGCGTCGTAGTCTGGAAACGTTGCCCTGACTCCGAGCACAGCGGACGGCAACACACCCAATGTGAGAGGGGAATCTGACCCTGAATTTACAAGGAGCTTTCGGAGCTCGTCAAGGGAAGCAAGTGCATCGTAGGTCTTGGAGACAGGCGCAACGGCCACGCCTCCCAAGTACCCGCTGGCTGGATCCTGGACAAGACTGTGCTCGGACAGCTTCCACACTGCGTCGCCACCTTGCGAGTGACCGATAGATGTCCAGTTGTACGACAAGACATTTGGAAATGCGTTGCGAGCGGCAACAACAGACCAATATGTGTCATTGGCATTAGCTGCGCTCGCTACGTACTTATGAGACGTGTAGTTGTTGCCAAGACCAGCATAGTCCGTAGCCACAACGGCGTATCCCGCAATGACAAGTTGGTTCCAGCTCGTATAGTCGTACAGGCTCGGGGAGGTCGAGGGTGCACAGCCGCGGAAGACTCCACTAGTACCGTGGGCATACGCGACTAAGTTGAAGGGTTCCGTAGTCCGAGCAAAAGGTAAAGCAATAAAGCCGGTGACATGCACATAAGAGCCGTTGATGTCGGCACTCGTGTACTGAATCTTGTACGCAGCGACACCAGCAGGTGTGCTGAGATTGGATGGGGGAATTGGCTCGAGTTTGAGAACATCGCCAGGTTTCGAGCCAGAGAAATTGGCTGCAGTTTTGTAGAAGTCGTAGTCGAAATGAGTGCCGTAGAATTCAAGGTCTTCTGCATTGCCTTCCTTGATTGCCTGCTGACAAGCTTCGCCTCAGCTATACTGTTGAGCAACTTCGGCGGAAACATTGTAGTTGCTGGCTTGGCCGACGTTGACGGCGAAGATCTGGAGGACTTGTTGCCCAAAAAGAAAAAGAATGACTGGAATCGCGCGCATTCTCTACCCCAATGAAAGAATGATAATTATAAGAAGAAACTGGTGCGCGTTGGATAGTGGACAGGTCACATTCTATCGTCCAGCCTACCGAAGCCTTTTTTATAACCTCATTGAAGTTACCGAAACCGAGATGTCGTTCTGGATTCAACAACGTCATACACATGGACAACCTATACGAAGCGGTGCCCGAGAACTCCGGTTGTCGTTGAGTTAAGATGTGGGTGGAGTGGGTCCGGGAATGCTCTTCCATTGTCCTTCCCGTTTGGGTTGATGAAATACGAACGAAGAGAAAAGATGCGCGGGGTCTAGAATACGAAAAAGGAGTTGAGAATGCGAAAAGTCTACGGGCGAATCACGAGGAAGCATTGGGGCTTCCTATGAAGTGTTTAATCTCAAGGGTTCCGCTACATGTCATGGAACGCCTCGGTTGGGGAAAGCGATGTCACTTCGGATTTCAATTTATCTCAAAAGCCACGTCATAGCCTCACATGTGTATTCAGTAAGACCTATTTGGTGAACTTGAGAAGCTATCAAAGAGGCATTGAGAGATGTGGTGGCAGGTTGACCGTCAGCTACAAGATCATAATTTAGAGACCCAGGCCAAACAAAGGCTTGTGCCTTGAAAATGCTAACCTTAGCTCTGCACCTTGAATCGCCCATGGCACCCTGAGCCTGACAGGCTTTGCGAAACTTGCAATTATCGAAGGCCATTTTAACCCCCGGCCCAAAGATGTTCTTATAAAGCTTACATTCCATGAACCCCTGGTCATGGATGCGAGGGGTCTTTTCGCATATTATGTTGGTGATATCGTCATTTGTAGTCCCGTCTCTGTTTGTGCAGGCGCAGTACTTATACGATTCGCAAGCCTGAACAGTTAAGGACAGCGTAGCAACAAGAAGAAGCCATGTAGCCTTCATGGTCAGTTGGAAAATATACTTGAAATATTAGCTGAGAAATCATTGAAGCGGGATTATAGAATACCTACCGGAAACGACCGTAATTTTACTCCGAATTCTGATCTTTCTGGATGAATGGAAATGGCTGGCAAGGTGAGCTACTTTGATGGGTTGAGCGGATCATAACGAATTTTATATAGACGTACTCATCGGCCTAGTGGTTTAGAGAGAGGCGCATATGCGCAGCACTCATCGGTATTACCAACTTTCGGTGTCTCAATGAGTGGCTGTGTCTTCCATTCTGCAGGATGGAGTTAGCCGTTGGCAGTATTGTAATTTCTAAATCTCTCGACGCGAAGGAAATGGTGCCGTATCGTAGGTGCCCTGAGCCGTATCATTAATGGCAATCGCTAGCTAACCCATAATTGTAAGTTCATTTATATAACGGTATGCAGAACATTGCTTCCATCTGACTCGTAAACTCTACATGTGACTACCTACGAGATTATCAGTCCGTGCAAGACAACATTTCTTCCTCATGATGAGACACAGACTACACGAGTTGCGCTGACACGATCGAGCTCATAGATGAGTGGAAGGAAGTTACATCTGACACATCGCTCTAGACCGCGATGGAACTATTCAAATATATTAAAATACTACACACTATAATATTGCATACCTTACTAATACACGTAAGGGATTAAAGCAACGTTTAAATAAGCATTCTCATTATCATAAACACTCTTAAGCTAGCTTGGACCTTTGAATTAGCGTGCTTATCACTAGCAGACACGTCTTGAATGTTACTATCTTCAGCGCCCACAATCTTAGTTTAACTCTATTTTTCGCAAATTCAGTCACTGGCGTTCCCCCAGATATCACTTGTACTGACCCCATCAGTGGTACCAATGCGGACGGATAGGGGCATTGAATGTGTCTGGAACTGTGTGCCGCCCAAACAAATTCAATAGCTAGGATTGAATCCACGCGTACACGAACAAAAGCGGATAGGAAATCAAAAAGTAGCGAATTTGATTGATCTTGCACGCAACAGGTGGAATTAGCCAAGAGACTGACTAGACGTCCTGATGCTGTGCCAGCCAGCTTCGCCAGTCAGTTTGATGGACTCGACCTACCCACCGCTTGCTATCAACAGATTCTTTCCAGCCTAATTTGCCTTCGTTGAAAGCAGTTTTGTACGCGAGGCCGATGTACTTGTTCCAATCATAAGTAGCAGTGCTTTCGCGTGCTTGCTGAAGCAGTTGTCGCGCTGTCTGCGTATCGCCGACACAGATTTCGCGTATCTCAACGCCACGTGCTTCACCGTAAACTCTTCCTAGGTCAGGAAAGGTTGAACGGAAGCTCTCAACGTAATAAAGCCCGCCTGCAGTAGCTTGTTGGTCGGAGACAGCACAGATGGTATACGCAGCCAGATCGTTCAAGGTAATCCAAATGTGCTCTTCAGTGCCGGTGCCAAAGTACGAGACAGTACCCTCCTCCACGTTGATGGCATTCCGTGTCCGGTCGCGATACCATGGATATTCGATTATACCCCAGTAAAGCCGTACAAAGGCCTGATGGTTGATGAAATCTCAACAGTTCGTTTGAACGCAATGTAAGCATCGTAGTTCTCATGCTCGCCGAGTTGAAGCCTTGTCCAATCATAATTCCAAGAGGCAGCGTGAAATATCTAGGCCATGGTTTAGCAAGCCGCCCGATTCGTATTACTTTCTAAACTTACTTTCACACCAGCCTTTTCCGCGGCATACAGTAACGCAAGCTGCGCCCCGACCACAAGCTCAGGACTGTTGTTGTACGCACATATCACTGCGTCGACTCCCGCTACAGCATTACGGAGACCCTCCAGGTCGTAGTAATGGGCAACTGACACGAAGCTCTCAAGGCGACACGCGATTTTATCGGCCAGTTTACCCGCATTCCGTCCCATTCCGCGAACTTGATGGCCCCAATCCAGCGCGACTTGAGCGCATGGCTGACCACACATTCCCGTGATACCTGCGATGAGCATGAGCATTGTAACAAGAATTACACCGTGGGTTGTTGATGGCGCAAGTACAGCTTCACGGAGCAGGGAACGAGACAAGGACAAATATGCCGCGCACGCAACTGAATATGAGGGGTACATTAGTAATAAGAGATGTTCTTAATTATTCATGCCAAGTGATTGCGTTCAGAAACCTGTTATGAATCTTTCTCATTATGTTACTAATCATGACCTAATTATGATCAATATGCATGTAAATCTGACAGCCGGCAATAAGGTGATCCTTATACCCGCACAAACAGCATGAGTGTCTAGATCTAGGGTTCTTCAGGCCGCCAAGAATGCTACGTGTTAATTTATGGGATGGGTGCTTGAATCATCGATGGGCGAATCTTTAGTAGATGGAGTTTGCAAGATCTCGTAGTCCTAGCCAATGAATAAAGTCTATCGGTCAGAGGGGCTTTAGTTAACAGCGTGGAGATATAGATGTTCTATTGCACCTGAAAGGACCTAGACAAATTGGCGCTTGATTTGAGGAATAAGTGAGTAAACTTACATGTCTCAGGCCTGTTATCCAGACTTGGGTTGGAATAGAATTTTGAGGGTTTTCTGATGTCCATATCGATACCATACATGGCGCCATTGGCCGCATCCGCGAGGAGCAGAAATGGTTTGGCCGTTGTCCCTTGGCTTCGGGGTCCGCGTGTGGTGGCTAGTTTCAGGACGTTAATTCCATTGAGGAATCCAGCGTTTGTAACTTCTGAGATAAGCGTGGCCGGTGGTGGCGTACTGCCTATCGTTCGCCAGATCAATGCTCCAGACCGACCACATTCCTGATATTGGAGTTCCATCGGCCGAAGCTGGCCCGCATTGAAGGCAAATATATTGCCCCGGTACTCGACTATTCCCAAGGTTGAGTTAACGGCCGATGAACTCGGGAACTGGTAGACCAAGGTAGCGTTTCCAGTATTCGTGTCAACCGACCAGAGGTCACCGGAATCATAGCGAGTAACAAGCAAGCCGCCATTCATTCGCTGAATTGCACATTCTAACCAACAGGTTCTTTGGATAGATGGTTCCACCAAAGGACGCGTGGGTGTTTGGCGCCATTCGGGCGAGCAGAAGCGAGGCTGTAAAGGCAAAACCAGCTGAAGCAGGTAGACGAACTGAAAGCCTGCATCTTGAGAATTCGTGACGACAGCAGTATGTAGACATCTGAGACTTGTAAAATAGCAGTGGCAAATACGTTACAGGTTGCTTCGCTTTTGTGTTATTCGGGCTCACTGGCTGTTGTCACGAATTGAAGCCTGCGCGGGTGCCCGTGGCAGGGACCTTGCAGAAAGCATGAATTCTTACACAACCTTCGTGTAAGGGGCTGGCCCCTAGGCTTGTTCAGCGTAGAGGTGCCGTCGATTGACTATTCTAAGCTGAAGAAGGAAGAAAGGACTTTACAAGGGTAGGCACCTAACAGCGGTGAAGCAGGCCGGGTTAGGCGGCGTACTGCG